TCTTGGATATGAATTGCAATACATTTGCAATACTATACATAGAACAACAATATTTCCAACATACATGTGTGGTGCGGGCGCTTGTACCGCTATCTGCGTCTCTTTCTTTCATACCGCGTCAGAAAGAGACGGATGTATACACACTGACAGTGTCCCAACAAAAGTTATCAATAATAATACCTTTTCTATACATATAATAAAATTGTAACTAAGCCGAATCTGTACATTAAATATTTATTGGAAAATCTTATTGAAATAAACATTATTATCGATACCAGAGGCCGAATCTATAGTTTTTAGAATTTTTGTTTGGCTGTCTGTCTGTCTGTTACCGCATCACATAAAAACCACTGGAGGGATTTTGATGAAATTTTGTATGATGATAGCTGGTTATCCGGGTCAACATATAGGATAATTTTGAATTTTTATCGCGGGAAAATTTCTCATTTCTGAGAAAAAAATGCAAAAACTGCAATGTAAGAGTATACTAATATGTAAAACCTAAGAATTTGGTTTTTGGTCATCTGAACGCGGACGCAGCCGCGGGCATTGCTAGTTTATAAATAAAATCTAATTTCATTAAGAACACTTTTTTAATGTTGCCATTTTCTATTATACCGTGTGGTAATTAAAAACATTCTGTTTGGTTGTAAAATTAAATAACTATAAGTTATACTTATAGCTACAGATATGCATAATATTAGCATTAACATCACGTGGCCATGTCGATGACGACTTACGAGTACATAAATTTACTCCCCACCCAAACCTGCCTATAGAAGTTTTCACTTCAAAAAATATTTTAATTTATGTTTGCTATCCGCGATATATATTCAAATAAGATTGGAATATTTATCCATAATATAAAAGTAAACAAAACATTCTTACTAAAAAGAAATTGATTTTTGTAAACAAAAATTGAAATTTAACATCAAATAATATATAGACGTAGTCGACTTTGTTTGTCATTTCTCGTTTTGACATCATTATTTAATAGTAGGGGAGCCCAAGAGGGGATTTTCTGTAGTTACTCGAGCGCGGCAGATTAATATACAGGGGGATACCTTGTACCCGGTTAAGTACCTCCACAAAACATGAGGCCCATATATAAGGCCGCCCGTGAAGGATACAGGATCAGATTAGTAAAAAAAAATTGACCACCAGAAATTCTCGAGCGCGTCAGATTAAGGTAGGGTGAGTTAATTACATCCTAAAAAGTGTATATTCCACTAATCTGACAATTTGAGAGTGACGTAAAAAAAGGGGAGGGCAACAAAGTTGTAAAAAAAAACGTCATCTCGACATTCTCGAGCGTAGCTAATTTTTTTTTTATTATGAAGGAAATAATGCAAGAATAATGAAAAATATATAATCTGACGATTTCCGCAAGCCGAAATAACAAAAATTCGTCGATAAAGTTAAATGCGTGCAGCTGCGTGATGCCTACATTTCCTGCTCCGCGTTTCTATTCCTCTCTCACTCTTTCTCTATCTATTACTCTCTCACTCCGTCCCCACTCTGGTTTCTGCCGCCATGACGCCATCACAGCTGATCATAAAGACTCGTTCGTGGCATACTGTTTACAACGTGTTTCCAACGTTTTGGCTTTTTTTGCTATTTTAATATTATTTGTGTGAATTAAAGTTAATAAATATTTAATATGAGTGACATTAATTTGAAATGTGTATTTTGTGATGAAAGTACCTTACAAAAAACAATTAAATTTACGGTAGAACCCCCGTGACTACCCCCGTGTATGATGTTGTCACTAAGTCTGTATGTATGTATGTGTGTGTGTATGTGTGACTCGCTTATATCTTTTCCACGACTAAACCGATCGGAATCTACTAAACGGCGTTCTAAATATTTCCCTCATAATTAGATTTTCTGTGAATTTGAACCGATTCGGACCGGATTCGGATAGAGTTTGAGAAATTTTGAATAATCTCAAAAAAAATAAGATTTTTTTTTTTGAAAGTGGTTTTTTTGGAATAACTTTTAATCGGCTTTATCAATTAACTTCAAAAACTAATCCACCTTTAAGCTAGAAAAACCACGCCGATCGTCGCTAATCCAGTCAAAATCGGTTGATTCGTTCGAGAGATATCGTGAACGAAAGAAAACCGAAAAAAAGTGTTTTTTCGGGATTACTCAGAAATTTTTGGTTCGATCAATTAAAACCTGAAAATAACTTATGAGGATGATAAAACTGCGTCGAATGCCGTCAACCGCGTGAAAATTGCTTGATCTATTCAAAAGTTATTGCGGTTTGAAAATTCCAAAAATAGTGTTCTATGAAACTTCTATCAGACTTTCGAGCTGGGAGAGCTCAAATGCATAGAAATATTATTTCTTTGAACTCTGCGAGCTCAAAATATCACATAAATTGTATTTTGAGCTCAAAAATGCCATAAGTACAATTTTAAGCGCACAGGAATGGAATTAGCGGGAAGTTGCAGGTTTGGCCTTTAAGGTGAACCGTTTTTCTAATATTTTTTTTGTCAGATCAGGCGAATCCCTCTAGATAATCGTCAGATTATGAGACAGTACGTTTAGAACATAAAGATGAACCATATATATCTTAATCTGACGCGCTTGAGTATTTCAAAATGGCGATTTTTTTTGCACATTATGAAAATGGCCGCGAGTTTGCGTCCCATCGAAATCGTCAGATTAGTGAATGAGAGCTTTTTTTTGGTGCACTTAACACTCCCTTAGAAAATCTGACGCGCTCGATTAAATTTTTTTTTTTTCATTTTCAACCCTTAAATACAACCACCCGCATCATGCAAACGATCAGATTAACATACGTACATTATTAAAAATACGTAGGGCATTTATGCTATCAATATCTGACGCGCTCGAGGATGTCTATGCAACAGTTTTTTTTTACATATTTAAAAATCTATAGCCCCTTCCCCCACCGATGTAAAGGTATATATCATATAACATTTTTTTCTTCTTATCATCTAAGCTTTGCATCCCAATAGGTCTCTACGACGCTCGAGTAAATCCCCATTTAGCTTCGTGGGCTCCCCTACCATAATGGTTGCTACCAGATAGCAGTCCGTCACGACAATAAGAGCAATATTAAGGTATGTCCACACCAGTGCGCTTCCATGTTCATCTTGCGTCTTCAACTGTCAATTCGTCTCGCGTCAAGCGTATGCATTATTGCTTGCCTTAAGATGCATGCTTGTCGTCTACACCTGTGCGCCTTAATCAGTCGTCAAGATGGACACGTGTGAGCTTGTAGCTATTTGTGTGGCATATTTACTATAAACTACAAGGGAAAAACGGAGGAAAATGAATATCTGGATGGAAGATTTAAAGTATTTTCGACCGTCGAACGGTAGGATGCTGTGCGCATATACGATAGTTTGTGTCTCGTTTTTTTCGAGACCATCAGACCATAGTTTTTCTTCCTGCTCAGTTCCTGGATGATGATTGCATAATGATAGAACCGACGATGTGAAGAGATTTTTTTTTAAAAACCGACTTAATTTTTTTTAAGTTTTTATTTTGCCATTTTTAATGTAGACATAGTAGAAGCAAAGTCAGAAGAAATTATTTAAATACAATTTTAACTTAAGCCGTTTAAGTTAGTTTGATGCCAATTTTTATATGAAGAATAATATAGAACAACTAAGAATAACACTAAGAATCAGGCTCTTAATTCCAATTCTAATGTATTGGGCTTGTCAAATTAAATACAATAAGTACAAACTCAAAGTATCTACTATTAGCAGTTGAAGAGTTCCACGGTCCACCTATCTACCTTCTGGCCTTACCATCAGATCAGGTCGACGATACCGATTCACGGCATTATCAACAGCAATAGAAAAAAATGCAATGTTAGTCAACATGACAATGAGAAGTAGGTTAAATTTTTAAATTAGCAAATTTTCTACCATTAGGGGTGGTATTTTTTTATGTAAATGATACCAAACTGAAAGTATACACTTTCAAACAAAAAAAAATGGTTAAATCGGTTAAAAAATTACGGAGTTCTGAGATAACAAACATAAAAAAAAAAGTCAAATTGAGAACTTCCTCCTTTTTAAAGTCAGTTGAAAAAAAATTAATATAATCAATCCTTGACAATAATTGTATTTATGAAAATGATTGTTATAACGATGTATTTCTGTAACTAAAACCAATTTATTTTAAAAATCCTAACTTTTTTTATCACCAATTATTTCAATGTCTAAGTAAAAAGTTAGAGCCTTTTTTTAACGTTGGTAAATGCATTTACGCACGAGGTGTGGGACTCACCGGCGTAATAAAGCCAGTACTACCCACTAAAACCCAACAAAACCTTCCCCCGTCTTAATGGGGCGTCGCAGGATCGCTTACGCATTCAACTACGACGCCCCGATGGCAGGTCTACCTAAGCAGACCACAACAACCATGGGGTTGCTCCAAGGTCTACTCTGCTATCAGAGAAGTACCAGGAGCAACCCACATGGTACACCGCCCACCGAAGAGGGCCACCTCCCACCGCCCACCGAAGTGGGCTCCTCCATGTGCGTTTCTTGGCTTCGCGCCCGGTTGGGTTGCCGGGCACTACTGAGCCCCCCCACCACGATAAGGTGAACGCACGTTGGGGGGGGGGGGGGGGGAGTTAGAGCCTAAGTTATTATATAAAAGTATAAAATTGACTCAATTTTTGACTTCGGATGGGCACTGATCAAAAACATACATTAAAAAAAATTGTGGTGATTTAGCATTTCTAGCACAACAAAGATTATCCGCCATTTTTTTAAATTAAAATAAAAAATCATACGGCACACATTTTAATTTAAATTTGTAGACTTCATATGGAATGACTCAATGTAATTTTATTTAAACAATAAAAAAGGTATCAAGTTAGTACTTATCAAGAAAATGCTCTGTTTTTTTATTTCATACTGGAATCGACCGGAGCAAAAACTACACGTCTGTAATTGACAATCTACAGTGAATTTAAATCTAATTTTAACGATAGTGTGATATAGTTAATGATGATACTAATTACTTTAACTGCATCTTTAATTATTCAAGCATATATACATGAAGAGAGTCTCTTTACATTTGCATCAAGCAATTCAGCGCCCAATTTCATTGAGCTAGCGGCGAGAAATGGCTTCGAAGCTGAAAAACATGATGTCGTAACAGAGGATGGATATATCCTTGGATTATTCCACATTCGTGGAAATCGAGGGCTTCCTATATTTCTCATGCACGCATTAACAGATACAAGTGATACTTGGCTACTTAGAGGAAACACATCGCTTGGCGCAACGCTAGCCCGACTAGGATATGACATTTGGTTTGGCAACGTCCGTGGGAATCGGTACTCAAGACGTCACATCACACTCAATCCAGATAGAGACCCTACGTTTTGGAATTTCTCCTTTCACGAACATGGGTATTATGATCTTCCAGCAATAATAAATACAATATTGAAGAAAACAGGTGCACCAAAATTAAATGCAATTGGGCATTCTCAAGGTAATACTGTGTTTTACGTATTGGGATCCACGAAACCTGAATATAATGACAAAGTGAACATTCTTATTGCTCTTGCACCCATTTGCTACTTTGATCATATCCCTCTACCATTATCTGCTATAATAGAAATTGCCCCAATAATAAACGCTAAAGCTATAGCTTTAGGTGAAACTGAGATTTTTGGTGATGTCTCAACTACTGGGAAATTATATAATTTAATTTGCAGACAATTTGTATTTCGATATAAAATTTGCACTTTAGGTGTTCTGTTTCCTCTTTTTGGTTATGATATACAAGAATTTGGTCCCAAATACAATGATATAGTATCAAAACATTTCCCATCGAGCACTACGAGAATGAATTTGTATCACTTTGCTCAAGTAGCACTTGGACATCGTTTCGCGAGGTATGACTTTGGACCTGATAAAAATATCAGAGTATATAACTCAACCATACCCCCCAACTATGATTTAAAGAAAGTGACCATGCCTGTAGTTTTGGTTGTTGGGAAAAACGATAAAGTGTCGACGTTAGCCGATGTAGCCACTTTGAGAGCGAAGTTGCCAAATGTCAAGAAATATATCCTCATTGAAATGGAGTGTATGAACCATTTGGACTTTGTGTGGGGAGAACATATGGCAGACTACTTATTTCCACATATTCTTAGTATACTGGAAGGCTGCGACTAAGTGTGTTTAATAATAATATTTGAGCAACACCGTATAAATAAATATTATACAGATATTATTATTAATATTATTCTATTGTTAAATTAAAAAAAAACTGTATAATGTTATGTCAAAAAAATGTCAAAAAATACCGGTTTAATATTATTCTATTGTTAAATTCAAAAAAAATACTACAATTGTATGCATATATTATACCATCTCATCAAGCCTCAAGGCTATTTCAATGTACGAAAATTATTTTAATTTATAATTTTATTCATAAAAATCTCGCTGAGTTTTGCGTTTTCGCTAATTCTTCTGATCTGATTCGTTCACAGAGACTTTTCCTTTCCGAAGTCATGATTTTCAGCAATAAATTTAATAATTTATTGCTGAATTACTTGGCTAAAGACTATATATAGGTACGTGTATATGGAATTTTGTATGCTTATTGACTTTTTTTATTTTCTAACAATAATAATATGTTTACACTGTACGTTTCATGTGAAATAAATATTATGTATTTTAAGGTATTTTTATCAGGTTAATTAATGTAAAACGTCAATGCCCTTTTTGGCCATAAAACGCCCAACAATTTGCTTTTTATGGTTATCATTGCCGTATTATCGGCAATGATAACCTACTGAGTTAGTAACTTGTATTAACAAGTACCATAAAAATTAACGAGATGGCACTATATAACATTGTCAGCATGATATCAGATAAGAGAGGGGTCTAATAATAATTAAGTATTAAAAATGATCGTTTTTGTAAAAAAAAGTATTGTTTTTCAAGACACTAACAAACCTTTACAGCCGTTTCCGAGATACACGAAATAAATACACAAGAATTGCTCATTTAAATAAGATACGTTTATAAACTATATAACACAATCAGTTTAGTTATAATCAGAATGGTGATCCGTTAAAAAAATTTATAACCAATTAGGATTCCTTAGACAAAAAAAAATGGGAAACGCTGCTCTAGAAGGCGCCATATTAACTTTAATGTGATGCCATATACAAACGTAACCTATAATCAGCAGACGATCAAGACGCTTCTAACAATACCTCATTTGTCTAATTATGTTAAGAAGCTTAGAAGATATGCGGAAATAGATGTCACATAAAAAAATCAGTTATGAGATGTTATCTGCCGACAGATGTAAAAACTTAAAACTATAAAGAAGTAATTAATATTTTTTGGATATGAATTGCAATACATTTGCAATACTATACATAGAACAACAATATTTCCAACATACATGTGTGGTGCGGGCGCTTGTACCGCTATCTGCGTCTCTTTCTTTCATACCGCGTCAGAAAGAGACGGATGTATACACACTGATAGTGTCCCAACAAAAGTTATCAATAATACCTTTTCTATACATATAATAAAATTGTAACTAAGCCGAATCTGTACATTAAATATTTTTTGGAAAATCTTATTGAAATAAACATTATTATCGATACCAAAGGCCGAATCTATAGTTTTTAGAATTTTTGTTTGGCTGTCTGTCTGTCTGTTACCGCATCACATAAAAACCACTGGAGGGATTTTGATGAAATTTTGTATGATGATAGCTGGTTATCCGGGTCAACATATAGGATAATTTTTAATTTTTATCGCGGTAAAATTTCTCATTTCTGAGAAAAAATGCAAAAACTGCAATGTAAGAGTATACTAATATGTAAAACCTAAGAATTTGGTTTTTGGTCACCTGAACGCGGACGGAGCCGCGGGCATTGCTAGTTTATAAATAAAATCTAATTTCATTAAGAACACTTTTTTAATGTTACCATTTTCTATTATATCGTGTGGTAATTCAAAACATTGTGTTTGATTGTAAATTTAAATAACTATAAGTTATACTTATAGCTACATATATGCATAATATTAGCATTAACATCACGTGACCATGTCGATGACGACTTACGAGTACATAAATTTACTCCCCACCCAAACCTGCCTATAGAAGTTTTCACTTCAAAAAATATTTTAATTTATGTTTGCTATCCGCGATATATATTCAAATAAGATTGGAATATTTATCCATAATATAAAAGTAAACAAAATATTCTTACTAAAATGAAATTGATTTTTGTGAACAAAAATTGAAATCTAACATCAAATAATATATAGACGTAGTCGACTTTGTTTGGCAGTTCTCGTCTTTACATCATTATTTAATGGTTGCTACTGGATAGCAGTCCGTCACGACAATAAGAGCAATATTAAGGTGTGTCCACACCAGTGCGCTTCCATGTTCATCTTGCGTCTTCAACTGTCAATTCGTCTCGCGTCAAGCGTCTGCAATATTGCTTGCCTTAGATGCATGCTTGTCGTCTACACCTGTGCGCCTTAATCAGTCGTCAAGATGGACACGTGTGAGCTTGTAGCTATTTATGTGGCATATTTAGTATTAACTACAAGGGAAAAACGGAGGAAAATTAATATCTGGATGGAAGATTTAAAGTATTTTCGACCGTCGAACGGTAGGATGCTGTGCGCATATAAGATAGTTTGTGTCTCGTTTTCTTCGAGACCATCAGACCATAGTTTTTCTTCCTGCTCAGTTCCTGGATAATGATTGCATATGATAGAACCGACGATATGAAGAGATTTTTTTTTTTAAATTTACTTAATTTTTTTTTAAGTTTTTATTTTGCCATTTTTAATGTAGACATAGTAGTAGCAAAGTCAGAAGAAATTATTTAAATACAATTTTAACTTAAGCCGTTTAAGTTAGTTTGATGCCAATTTTTATATAAAGACTGACAAACTAAAATTCGCTTTTATTAGTAACACTAAAAATCAGGCTCTAAAATCCGATTCTAATGTATTGGGCTTGTCAAATTAAATACAATAAGTACAAACTCAAAGTATCTACTATTAGCCGTTGAAGAGTTCCACGGTTCACCTATCCAACTTCTGGTCTTACCATCAGATCAGGTCGACGATACCGAATCACTGCATTATCAACAGCAATAGAAAAAAATTTGCATTTTTTAGTCAACATGACAATGAGAAGTAGGTTAAATTTTTAAATTTTTAAATTAGCAAATTTTCTACCATTAGGGGTGGTATTTTTTTATGTAAATGATACCAAACTGAAAGTATACACTTTCAAACAAAAAAAAAATGGCCAATTCGGTTAAAAAATGACGGAGTTCTGAGATAACAAACATAAAAAAAATAAAAAAATAAAGTCAAATTGAGAACTTCCTCCTTTTTAAAGTCAGTTGAATAAAATAATTAATATAATCAATCCTTGACAATAAGTGTATTAAAGAAAATGATTGTTATAACGATGTATTTCTGAAACTAAAACCAATTTATTTTAAAAATCCTAACTTTTTTTATACGAATTCCTAATCTGTCATATCTGAACTTCATTGTTTATGTAACTCTATGGTAAATTCTTCCATTTCACAATTGGACGGTTTCACTTCGATATATTATAATCTACCGAAAAATAATACTTTAAATTGTAAGCAGTATACATATTACGATTCACAATCTTTCGACAGTTTACAATTTCGCTAGATAGATTATAATCTAACGATATTTACAATTTTACGGTGATATTTATATTGCATATTATCATTTTCATACATTTTTAATATACGAAACGGCACGCAGGCGGAAGTTTCTTTAATAGGTGGCTATTCTCTTGATTGCCAAGGTTTAAAGATATAGTAATAACGTACAACACTTAATTAGTATTATAACGACAATTTAATTACGAGGAAAACTATAAATTATACATAATTATTTATCAATAACTTAGTTCGCGGTAGATAACAAATAAAATCTATACTAATATTATAAATGTGTATGTTTAGATGTTTGTTACTCCATTACGCCAGAACGGCTGAACGGATCTAAATAAAATTTAACACAGCGATATATTATAGTCTTGAATACCGCTTAAGCTACTTTTTATCCTGGAAAACGTGATTTTGTTTGTCTAGGCGGACCCGAGCCAAGCGAGGGTGAGCCGCTACTTAACTCATATATAACAATTTGCTTTGACACTGTTTTATATTAACAGTAGCAGAACTCGCGACTTCGCTTGCGCTAAAACTACAAAAAATCTCTAAAAAGGTAGTTTCATACAAACCCTCATAGGATGAATTTCGAAAAATGCTAAAACACGTAATTTATTCAATTTTATTGAAAAGCATTAAAACCAAGTTTCAAGTAATTCTAATCATATATTTTTTTTTTTGGATTGTATTATAACTGTTTTCCCGTGGGAATGAGATAATCTCTAAAAAGTAGCCTATGTCACTCTCCAGCCCTCCAACTATCTTCACACAAAAAATCCGTCACTCCGTTTCGACGTGAAAGAAGGACAAACAAACAAACAAACAAACAAACAAACAAACAAACAAACAAACAAACAAACACACTTTCACATTTATAATATTAATAAAGTATGGATATATCCAGGATTAAAAAAAAACATTTTCAAGAGAAAGCCCCATTTATATGCCATGTAAATAAATAATTCACATATAAAAATGTGTTTTTGGAAACATTGCATACAAAAATAATTTTATTTAAGACAGTTTATGAAAATAAAAAGATACTCTTAAGGGTACAATTTATGAGTATTACAAGACAGTTTTTAAAATACACGAAGCCATCCGTTATATTTGAACTAAATAGTCATTAATCTGTGGTGTAGTGGCTAGCACGTACGGCTGCACATCCAGAGGTCCTGGGTTCGAGTCGCGGGTTGGATCTAGTCAAATTAATTATTAAGTTTCTATGTTAACGAATTTTAAACGGCGGTAATTTAGCGCTGTTTCAGGAGGTCATCGAACTAATTAGCTCGTTAGTCTAGTGTCTAGCATGCCTGGCTACCGATCAAGTGGTCTTAGATTCGATTCCCGAGTCGGGGCAAGTGGAGTTTGGATTTTTATTAAAATATTGTAAATAACAGTTTAGAGTGTGGAAGTTGGCGGTGTTTTACCGAGCGTCAAAAAGCATATATGTACGTCCGGTTCTTTGATTGATCTCCTACATTTTGTACCAAATTGTATCGAAAATAAAAAAAAAATGAGAATGCACTCGTATCTCCTATTAAATATCTGTATACAAACGATTAAGACTATTCATATCTAACTGGTTCAAAGTAAACTTTATCGCGACATTTTCCCAATTTTATTTCATTCCATCACATTAATATTGCATTCAATATGTACTTAAATGAAAACGCAACAAAATCCGAAAAGACAATTTCACTTAAAACATAGTAAATGTGTATATGTATAGGAAGACTCACCAGCGGCGATCCAGACGGCGAAGCGCAGCCACGTCATGGCGTCGAGGTTCAGCATCAGGTACACGTTGATGAGGATGCTGAGGCCCGGCAGCCACGGCACCAGCGGCACCTGCCGGGAGAACGGCCAACTTTAAAAACTTATACATCTTAAGTCCTTAAAAACCGGTCAAGTGCGAGTCGGACTCGCACACGAAGGGTTCCGTACCATCTTGAAAGATATGTACATTATGTACTAATCGATTCTTTTTAATTTGCATGGCGGCCATTTTGAAATTCATCATTTTGGTTTTTTATACACACTCTATGAAAATGTTTACTTTCTTCTTGTACGGTTCAAGGAGTACAGCTCGTTGACAGACAAACGGATGGACAGCGGAGCCTTAATATTAGGGTTCAGTTAGCATCTTTCGGGTACGAAAGTCGGAACCCTAACCAAATTGAATCAAAATATACTTTATTCAAACGGACTTTTAGAAACACTTTTGAATCGTTAATTTTACATTTTAATTTTTAAATAAAATTATCTTTTCGGGTCGCTTCGCGAATTTATTTTGATATTTAGTTCCCGACGCTTCGAATGCTTTACAGCAATCATAGTCACGGGAGAGACTATGATTGCTGTAAAGAGAGAGAGTTTAAATTAAATGTAATCAGTCCGTCATGAATCTACCACCAGCTAAACAGCAGAAGCCAAGCCAACAGGCGGCACGTACCGAGAAGGCCAGCTTCTTGTCGGAGACGGGCTGCCGCGCCACCGCGCCCAGCGACAGCAGCGCCAGCGCCGCGGCCGGCGCCCGCACGCCGCGCGGCACGTGCCCCGTCACGCTGCCCATCAGCAGCAGGCACCACACGCCTGGCAGGATAAGTAAATACATAGGTATGATGAGACATTAACTCACAGCACCGTCTAGTTCCATGGTAAACTACGATGCCTGAGTATGGACATAACATAGTTGATAACACTACACATATATAACTTTAGATACATACATATTATAAATATAAACACCCATGACTGGAGTACAAACATTCGTGCTCGTCACATAAATTAATACCCTCGGCGGAATTTGAACCCACGACCGCTGGCACAGCAAGTAAGGTCAGTACAAACTGAGCCAAACGTGTCGTCAAATAATATTTTTTTTTATGGTACTCAGTGATAAACGAGCAGAGAGCCTACCAGATAGAAAGCGATTTAGTTAACCTATCGCCCATACACCTACGATTCATACACTAACATTACAGTATGTTATCACTGTGACGATGATATGCCTCTTGCCTGTGATTGCGCTGGCTACCTTATCCTTCAAACCGGAACACGACAATGCAATCATTGTTGCTTGGCGGGAGAAGTAAATAAGGGGGGGGGGAGGGGTAAGGTTCCCATCCGGTCGGACTCCTCAGGCTTGACAGTCCTACCACCGGTAATAGTAGATGCCGTTGATTGAAATAGAGTTATTACAAGTGCTTTTGAATCATCAATTTAATGTAAGCGTCAGTGTAGTCAATTCGTGAGGAAGCCACCACCGGCTTGAGAAGCAGTTCTGCTAAGAAAAGCCGGCTTGATCATACTTACTATTTTATTTTGCTTGATCATACTATATTATCTTATATTAATCTTATATAAATATCTTGTGTCACGGTGTTTGTGGTCGCACTCCTCCGAAACAACTCGACCTATTTTAATAGTTTTTTTTGTACATTTAGTAGATACGTGAATAGGTCGTAAAATATTTTTCACCCTCCGTGTTTCACCCTCAGTCTCAGTGAAATTAACTGCTGTGACCGAACTCAATAAGGAGAACAGTATAGACTGAAATCAGTCAGGAGTTCAGTACTGACCGAAGTCGGTCAGGAAGACGGTACTGACCGTAGAGAGTGACGAGCACGGAGACGAGCGCGGCGCTGAGGCGGGTGGGTGCGGGTTCGCGGTCCGAGTTGAACAGCTGGCGCATCACGCGGCGCCACGACAGCTGCAGCGGCTCCACCGCGGCGCGGGGCGGCTGGCTCTTCTCGTATCTAGTAAAAGGTTACAGGTTCGATTTTCAGTTAGGGAAAAGGCAATGTTTTGTCGTACTTTTAAATTATTGTTTAAAAAAGCAATTCGATTTCTAAATTTAAAAGTACCTATCTTTTCCATCCTCATTAAAAAAATATGACAATCGATTCCTAATTGACGAAGATATATTGCAATAGTGACGTTAAAATTTTAATAACCCCATGAGCTATTTAAAATTAAATATAATTGAAAAAAAAAATCACCACATAAGGGCACTTTAACATATATTAGTGATTATTAATTAAATGACTTTATCGATCAATACTTCTGTCACTAACTTTAAAATGACTTACTTTAGAATGCGAATACTTAAAGAAAATATATAACAAACACACCTGAGCAACAGTACACAAGACGCTACCATGGAGTACGCAAGGAGAGTGCCGATAGACATCATGTGTATCAGCTGTTCTAGTTCGAAGAACATCGCTAATGTACCTGGAATATTGATTAAAACATCATTACAAAAAAAAATTACGATATTACAAAAAAATATATATAACACTATTGATTGTTTCATTACTAAAAGAACGATATTTTTGTTTGAAATTATCTTATTGCTTGTGATACTTTTTAATTGTTAGTATGGAATAGATAGACTATATATTAGTATTTATCATACATAGGTATGAATTTTATATTCCTTGATAAATTATTGATTCCCCATATCAACTTTCATCCCCCTTTTTACCTCCTTGAGAGATGATTTCCGGGATAGCAAGTATCCTATATATATATCCTTCCCAGGGTCTCAAACTATCTTCATATCAAATTTGATCTAAATCGATTCAGCGGGTTTTTAGTTTATCCATTACAACAAACTCATAAACTTAGATTAGTGTAGATGACATAATGACAACATTTTGTTTTTTAGAACGGAGTTCGTTATCGCGCGTCACTCGGCACACTCAGCGAGTGAAAGCTACACGGGTACAAATGGAATATTGCGACCGTCATGAAACTTAATTTAATAGACACCGACTTTTTTTTGTTTGTTTGGACGCGCTAATCTTTATAACAAACAGTCACATTTAAAGAGTTCTTTCGCTAGAAATGTGCGGGGTCCCCGGGGGCCCGAGGGCCCGGGGGCCCGGGGGCCCGGGGGCCCAGGGGCATACCGGTGAAGAAGCCGGCGAGCACGGTGCCCACGAGCGGCGTCTGGTACTTGGCGCTGACGCGGCCCAGGAACCGGAACAGCAGGCCGTCCGCCGACATCGCGTAGATGATGCGCGGCAGCGGGAACACCGCGCCCAGCAGGCTGAGGGACCACGTGCGTTTTATTTTATTACATTGTCACGTCATCTTTTTGAAGTTATACTTCTTTTGGCACATTTGAAAAAAAATAAGAGAATAAAATTTTTACGATGCGCGCGCACACCGACAGCCAAAAAGCGACATGATGAAGTTAGCTGCATTCTTTTTAGAAACAGACGTTGTGACATACGGGATGAAATCTTAGCTATTTTTGTTCTGTTACGCCAAAGAAATATAACTTCTTACGTGCGTACATAAGTACACACTCGTTTTTTTTTTAAATAAATATAATAAATATAAACAGAACTCTATCTTGACCTCTTGGATGCGAAACACTAAAAACTCTCAAAGAAACTAAATATGTTTAATACATATATTAAAAATATTACATGAATTTCTGTCTTATAAGTAAAACAGCGTGAAAATGTAGTATTAAACCATCACCTGGAGCAGAGCGCGCAGACGGCGCCCACGCTCACGGCGTACTTGGCCCACGCCCAGCCCAGGCGGTCGTACACGTACGGGAACGGCGCTTTTTCATCCTAACCATTATATAAATAAATTTAAAAAAGGCTAACATAATCATAATAGGGAATATGCGTGTAATTTAAATAATGGTGAAATATATATATTTTTTATATAATCTTTATTGTTTTCAAATTAAGTCTACATCAATATTTTTAAAAGTATTTTTTTTTTATTAAAAAAAATAATTATTAAAAAATACAAATATAGGTGGGAAATTCAAATTAGTTGAAACGAACGCCATTGGTCAGACCGAATATGACGTCAGAGTATATCATAACAGAGCGATTAGCGATTTTGTCGATACAAAGTATCCGTATCGGTATGTTTTTTATCTTTATCGGTATTTTTATATTTTTTATATTAAATTTTAGTTTTTTTGTGCTGGATATTTTTTTCCAATTATATAACGATGTTACCCATTGTACTAAAAAATTTCCTATTGATGATGAATCACATCACAGAAGTTTAGTATATTATTGAGTAAAAAATATCACTCTATTCAAAAGTGTGTAGAAAATACCAAATATTTTAAAGAGAAACGGTCGAGTTTCTTAATGGGTCTTCTCAGTAAGTTTAATGCTGAATTAAAATTATTTGAATTTGACATAAAACAAAAGAAGTATAGTACAGACGGTGAGCAAGTACTTGCATATAGTAAGGTCTATAATTATTTAATTTATTTTTTTATATTATATTTTTTTGTATAATTTAGTTCATGTACCCCGTTAGCTATGAATATAATACACAGAAAAGTATAAAATATTATGAATAAACTTATAATATTTTATACTATTATGTGTATTATATTCATCAGTATTTAATATTTTTATTAGTATAATTAATATTTTTCATAAATTACTATTTGTTCTTTCAAGTCAAACATGAAGTCATTATTAAGACGGGGAGTCCGTAAAAAAAATATAATCAATTAGGGCTCCGTGAGCCGGCGGCGGCACCTGCAGGTAGTAGGGCAGCATGAGCGTGAGCACGGCGGACACGCCGCAGTAGGCGAGGAACACCACCAGCAGCGACGCCGCCACCGCCGCCGGGATGCTGCGCTGCGGCCGCCGCGCCTCCTCGCCCGCCGTCGCCACGCAGTCGAACCCTGACGCACACGACCACCACCACACACAACTCTAACTAACTAACTCTTTTCTAAGGCGATATTGCAACCTTTTAAATTTTTCAAAAACAAAATATAAATCACGACCAAATAAAACAAAAAAAAAGTACAGACGAATAGTCTGTTATGTTCAATGCTCTTTTAAAAAACACAGACTCACACCAGGACATTATTGAAAAAAAAATCTCTAATGTATATTTAAAAAAAAAGTTAACCTTGTGGCACACCACAATACGAGATATTAAATTTCATCCAAAACCGTCCCAAATATCTCAAAATACGAGCACACACACACACACACACACACACACGCGCGCGCATACTCACACGTATACACACAAACACTTTCCAAACCGATCAAAAACCGAAGCTCACCGATGAACCCGTAGAAGCAGACGGCCGCCCCCTTGATGATGCCGGCGAGGCCGTAGGGCGCGAACCCGCCGCTGCCGAAGTCCTTGCCCCCTGAATTGGGCACCTCCGAAGCCGGGATACGCCAGTTCTTTGTATCCGCTGAAGAAAATAATAGATTTATTGTATATTTATTTTGGCGACACGTTTAATTTGGTGTAACCCTACTAGCAATGCCAGAGGTTTATATTTATAATATGTATGTATTTAAAGTTATATATGTGTAGTGTATCAACTATCTGGTATCCATAACACAAGCTTCGTAGCTTACCATGGAACTAGATGGTGCTGTGTGTTAATGTCCCAACATATTTATTATTAACTAGCGGCTCACCCTCGCTTCGCTCGGGTTCACCTCTAGAAAACCATAAACAGATCTATACCATTTTCCCGGGATGTAAAGTAACCTGTTGTTTGACCGGCAATACAAGGTATCAGCATGCCAAAATTTACTAAATTAGGTGCGTAAGTTTTTGTGTACTAAGCTGTATAAGTTGTTATAGTTTTTTAACTATCCCACGGGAAATCTATAATTTTCCGGAATGAAAAGTATCTACGATGTAGTCCGGGGATATAAGGTACCACAATGCAAAATTTCATTTACATCGGTCCAATAGATTCGGAGATTAGCCCGTACAAACAGAAAAACAGACAAACAGCTCGCTCGGGTTCGTCCATACCTACGAATATGTTGTATTATCTCTTTAACCATTTGTCCAAATGATATGCAGTAAAAGGGAAAAGTCTTTTGTTTTAAACATTTTAGACGATAAGTTTACTTATTTTGATAAGAATTCATAATTGTTGATAATATGACCAATAAACATGACCTACCGATTTAAATTATTTTTTTAATATAAAAAACTACTTATTGTGACTTAAATATAAAAGTTAGACATATGCTGTCGCTGACTTTTTTGTAGGCATTATTAAGCTCTACAACTTTTCTCTAGAACATAATCATATATCTCTCATCGTTAAGGCAGCGTTCGTAAGAAACGTTTTCGTTCGACCGTTTTTTCTCCGACTTACTTTGCAAATCCGACTTCCACGAAAAAGCCTTTTCATTTTTCGGGTTAATATATAGCCTATGACACTCAGAAAGAACGTGGCTTTCTATTGGTAAAAGAATTTTGAAAATCGGTTCAGTAGATCCAGAGATTACCCCCTACAACGTCACAAACTCACAAACCCACAAACTCACAAACTCACAAGATCACAAACTTTACCTCTTTATAATATTAGTATAGATTACAAAATAATAATTATTATAATAAATCCTTTATTGTTCACCCAAAAAGAAAAAATATATGATATTGTCAATTATTTCTTTAGCAAAGTAAATAATAATTTAGAATGGTAGTTTTAAGTATCATAAAGTGTAAAAAAAAACTATCACCAACTGACGTCACGATTTGATGCTATAATTTTATAGATTTACGCGAATATTTAACATTTTGAATCAAAGTATATTTTAGGATTTTGGTGTAGATTTATTAAGATTTTTGGTTTCTGATGTTTCGAATTGTTTGCACCATGCAATTACGGATTACAGAAACGTCAGGAGTAAAAATCTAAATAAATCAGTGAAAGAATATAAAGATAGTTATTTATCAAATATTCGCGTGAATCTAAGAAAGTATTGTGTACAGTCTCTAATGAAGCCTAGACAGAACAGACAGACAGAGAGAGAGACAGACAGAAGTTTAGACAAACCGAACAAAAGTATATCAAATAAGGGTATGTGGAATAGAAGTGAGTGAGCGCACTCGACTATCATACTTATTTTTATATGACACTCGGGAAACGACTTTAGGGTTAACTTTTATAACTGTAACTTGCAGCTCATTATCAAAAAACATGAAAATTGATAATTTTTGAGTGCCCTTATATGATTTTTATACTGTGGTATTAGTACATAGTATAGTTAGTACAGATTTTAATGTTTGGAAATGAGTGAGATAGAATTATCCCTACAAGATAAATATCATATAACTGCAAATATTTAAAAAAATATCTAGGCATTTTACAAAACACCTAGGTATTTTACGAAATATCACATACAATTTAATTCAGATTACTTTATCCTTACCTTTAAAAGATCCCGATATAATGACAAACAACACAACGCACAGATTAACGCCCGTGCAGAAGTTGTTAAACTTCGTTGATTCCTTCACACCAAAAGCTAGGGCAACTGAAATAAAAATTAATAATTACAATTATTTTAATTACTCTGTACTCTTCTTGCATTTTTTTTTTGCTGGCTGTACTTTATTATCTTCAATAAGTAACTTCTTAAGATGATAGAATTACATAATTATTCTAAGTTCTTGATCAAAAACAAAAGTTTTATAAAGTCGTATTTTTCGGAAATGATATAAAAATTCCGTTTTTTCAGAAAAGACACCAATACAGATAAACTTAAAAAAGCAAAACCTTATCTAAATACAAAATTTGATCCAAATCATTAGAGCCATTTCCGAGATACACTAACGACACGAAATTAAGTAAACCTAAAATGATATGACGTGGGCCAACACATAGGCTACCATTAGGCACCTAGACATGTATGCAAAACAATTAACATGTCACAACCAAATTTTAAACATACCAGAAAACACCATAATAACTGTGAACGCGAACAAATCGGGATACTTCGCAAGATGTGGCGAATCAATCGGCATCCACTCCCGCAACTGTGTGGATATCGCTTTATCCAACAGAGAGTCTAAATATTCGCTTAAAGCTTTAACAACAGACGCGGCACCTGAAAGAGAAGGCGAATTATTAACCAACGTTCCTAGAAGGAGGTAGTATTTCCGAGTGCGTGTTTATCTATTTTTACGTATAGTTTTATCTATTACACTATTTCTTTCTTCTTCATTTAATAAGGGATATATAAGATTAGCATTATTGCAATAGCGCGCCACTTGCTCTTCAAAAAGCGGGATACAAATTCTAGAGATGAGGTAATACGTCTAACGTTGTCGAAGTGGTTTACTGGCCCAAATATGATATAGTCATCATGGGATGATTGGATAATAGCGCAGCTGGGCAAGGGCAAGGGCAAGCAATGGCATGTCATCCATCAACCTAATAAAAATCTTCTCTTGCTTGGACTTACTAAGTTTAATATAGTGTCACCTTTATCATGTTTGTGTAATTGTTGGTGAAAATCCCTAAATAATCCGCTAGACAAGAAAGAAATTATCTCTTTTTTTTCATATTCTCCCACCTTTTACTTTGCGTATCGCAAACAGACAGGTGTTACCCCCAATAGGTTGACACCCATGGAAGACCCCTAGCTATACCACTGTGTGAAGGTCAAGGTCATGTCGTACAAGCTAGCCGCTGATCTAACATGGCGGTCAAAATATATATTACAACTATAATACACATTAGAAGACAATATTCCTTACCAATTATATACTCGAGTATGAGATTCCATCCAATAATGAAAGCAATGAACTCTCCAACGCACACATAGCTGTATACATACGCTGACCCAGCTTTAGGTACTCTTGCACCGAATTCCGCGTAACAAAGACCTAGGGAAATAAGAGAAAAAACATCTCTTGGTATATGTGAAAGAGGACTACTTACTACAATAATAAAAAAGAGGTAAAATAGTAAGTTTGTATGTAGCAGGTAAACTCTGAAACTACTCATCTAATTTAAATAACTTTTTCACCCATATTTAGAATGGACCGTCAAGTTGTCCACTCTATAAGTTGTAATATTATTTTATTGAATTCGGAGATTAATTTTGCAACATTATAGCTCAATCTTAGAACACAAGTCTAATAAAAAAAAATATTACAAAACCAAAACAATCTAACTTGACTTTAGTCGACTTGTTTTTTTTTTGATTTCTGTATCTGGATTGAATAGTGAAAGTAAAACTTTATCTTAAAGATATCAGTGTACTACATAAAATAGCTTTTCTATAGAAAAAGAATGCAGTTACGCTTGAATTACTATTACAAAAGTTATTATTTGATAAGACAAAAAAATAGTATAAAAAATTTATAAAACAGAAATTATTTTCACTTAAGTAAATGTAGAGCAAATATAAATTCCTACATCAATACAGATAATAAAAGTGTAACTGATCGCTGTCTGTAAATGGAAGATATTTTAGAAAAACTGCTGTTGGGGGGTCTTTATTAACTTTAGTAACCCAAAACAATGATTTTTAGAATTTTTATCTGTGTTTGTGCGCGCTAATCTCAGAAACGGCTGATTTGTATGCGGTTTTCACTAATGTATTGTGGTAAGCTTCACTTAACATTTAGTGTTTGTTTTATTTTAAATCGGTTCATAAATAAAAGTTATGTCTATTCAAAGAATCACCTATCCATCCGCCCCATCATGTCATACAATATATCAAATTGTACACATAAGTTGTGGAAAACTTCCAGTGTACATACTATTATTTATTTAAATTAATTTATAGATTAGTTCAAAATATAAAACGATATTTTCTGTAATACACGCATCTTTCAGTTTATTGCATAAAAAACAATTCACTATGTAATTTTAAACACTTGTTGCAATCTAAATAAAATTTAATGGGCATGTGAAATCATCTAATCTAACATTAATCAATATATGTACATAATACGCACAAGGTCAAACTTACCAGCAAATACACTTGCGACGGCGGCTAATAAAAACGACAATATCACTGCAGGTCCGGCGTAATTCTTAGCTACGTCACCCGCGAGGACGTACACCCCCACACCCAGGGTACTACCCACCCCTAAGGCAGTTAGATCTAATGCAGACAAAACTCGAGCGAGTCTGGCTACACCCTCTTCGGCTGCTTTACGTCGAGATAGCACGCCGTATGCCAGGCGGGCCGCACGGGCTGCCCCAGCTTTGATGCCACCTGAAAGGGATATTTTCATAAATGTTCCTGTTATTATAATGTTTAAAAAGCGTGTCAAATAAAACTGCCATTTGTATTCCTAAGAAATTTACCATGACAGAGGCAAAAAATGTTAAAACCTATTAGTTGTTTGACCCAAATAAAAGAAAATAACAATTTATATATTTTAGTACATCTACAACTCCTTTTTGATTCATTATACAATGTATTTAATTAATACTGCTCTCAGCTCTGTATGATACTCATTCAATCAATTCAATCTGTATGAAATTCATTCATACTCATATTTAAAAAATATTAGTAATTATAGTATTTATTACACTTGGTACTGTTCATTATTTATTTTTTTAATTTCACAGTCTCAAACATCTCAGTGGTATAATTTTAGTAAATAAAAAACCAAACATTTCTATTTATATAATATAGAATTGAATGAAAACAAGCACTCTTTGCAACATTACAAAAATGAAAAACCAAATAACCTTCAACATTTCATAGCATTATATATTAGTTCTATTGTTATAGTAAATATCTTTTACCTAGCTTTACCATAAGATCATAAAACACCATGAACTATACAAGTTTATTTAACACTGATATATAATGATTCTATGTTACTTAAATGATTCTGCAAATTAATATTTATAACTATTTGATCAATCCCTAATTTGCTGAGGCACAATTCTAGGTAGCATTTAACAACATTATTTTATGTCAAGAAATCATTGTTGGTTGATTTTTGAAAGATGGAAAAAGAAACAAATACACTTTTAAATTTTACGATATTAATAAAGATTTTTCATTATAATTTATAATAGCAATAATAATTTTTTTTATATGAATTGATGAAATTATTATAAATTTATTTTTAAATATAGATGACTACATTTTAAATATATTTCATTAAATTATTCCTATTTCATTTAAGGTAAAACATCAAAATAGTAACAAAAAATATATTATAAAATGTATATTACCTAAGAACTTCCATATTATTACCCACATTGTATTTTAAACACAAGTATATCCTAAAATATCAAGTAAGGAATGAACCACAATTGATATGATTGACTGTCGGCAAACTACTTGTTACAGATCATTGTAGTTATTGATAAATGAGGTTACAGCCATGTCAATTGCTTGTCCAAACTGAGATGCTTTTTTTATTGTATAGTTAATTTAAGTATATATTTACTTACATTAACTATATAACAATTTATCTATGCATATATACATAGGCATAAAATCTCTATATATAAAAAACAAAGTCGGGTTTGTTACAACACTTATAACTCAAGTACTGCTGGACTGATTTTCATTATTGATTGATTGATGACATGTTGATGATGATGATGATTTGTCTCCGTCCCGAATAGCAGTATACCTAACTATTAAAACCTCAGTAAAATTGACAAAAAAAATAAATATTAAAAATTATGTAGCTAACACTGGTTAATAACTATTTATATCTATTTAAAACCTAGATATTATTGGTATGGATTTATGGTATTTAGAACCTAGGGACGAACTCAAGCAAAGCGAGGGTGAGCCACTATTATTTTATAAATAACATTGATTTTTTTTTATATATACTTATTAGTAATGATATTTCATAACTCATTCTATACTAAGATTCTGTAGTTAGTAGTTCTAATTAAGGCGACTAGATTTAGATCAAATCGTATACATATTCTATGTAGTATGTTTAATTATTTGAGTATTAATCTGATATTTTGTAGACAAGTTTCCCAGAAGTATCTTACCTTCTGCATACGCTTCTTTTATTGTAATACCCGGAGTCCCCCGCAACCGACCCATATCACCACTTGAAAACCCATCTTCATCCGGATAATTCATCTTTGCCACATGAAATAACCTAACACACTAACACGTCCTATGAATAGAATGTATTAAAATCTGCTTATAATTAGAATCTATGCCTTTATTAGGTCTCGCTAACAACGGATGGGATCAATTCAATAGGATCTATCATATTTCAAAGATCAACATCTTGTATTATTGGTTATCGCTGGAAAATTGACTCCTGCTGAAATCTAAATTGCTGATTAGTGATTACCGATAGGCGTAAGGCGATACTTGACAGTGACAGTTGCGTGTTCTAGTGTGTACCATACAGTGAAAAGAATTTATATTATCGACATATTATTTAGCTTTCTAATTTGTTTAAAGTTTTGCATTGATTTGAAACAATCAAAACTCTTTACAATTTACTAATATCATAAATTGTAAATCGCATCTCAATCATAAAAAAATTGAAAACATTTTATTGTAAAACGTTAATTTCTAGTTGTTATAATTAATAAAGCCCTTTTACATTTTATGTGTTCAATATTTTATTTTAAAAATTACTATTTATTCAATTAAACAATGCTAGTATTAAGTAATTAAGAACATATTGCATGTGATTGTATAACAACAAGTGGACTTTGCAATTATTATAATTATATTGTAGTTATACATAAATTAATAATAGTTTTTTTGGACTAAAGTATCGATATCATGTGTAACATCATTCTACAAGGTGACGTAAATGTCAATACTCAATACTCTTGCGTCACCTTCGCACGATTCGTTCATAAACTTTAAAATTATTTCGTTCATACTTTGAATAATACTTAAGGTTTGTCTTGAGCAATATATATTATTATAATATTATAAATATGAAAATGTGTTTATTTGTTTATTTGTTCTTCTTTCTCGACGAAACAGAGTAACAGATTGGCATGATTTTTTGTACGGAGGTAGTTGGAGGGCTGGAGAGTGACTACTGCGGGAGATTATCCCATTGCCAAGGGAAAACACGTTATAATACAACCCAAAAAATATTTATAACTATAATTAGGTACTTGAACAATTCATCCCATAAATAAAAGTTTTTTATATAGTTATAACGCGAGCGAAGCCGCGGGTTCTGCTAGAAACAATACAATAAACAATTGCTATAATGGATGTGGGTAAAGTGTGGTTAGATCTTAAAAGGGAGATCCCCTTTTGTGCGGATCGCCTCAAAATTTCAATTTTCACATAGCCTTTTTTTACCTTACGATACAGCCGTATAATATAGTACCCACCTACCTATACATTTTTATTTTTGAGCAAAGTTATTATTAATTGTTTATATTTTTAGTACTTCGTTTTTAGTTCTTTAATATTTTAATAAGCGTATAAAAAAAGTATAACCTAAGATTACCTTCCATTTCATCCACATTGTCGTAACTGTCTAAACCGGCATCGGTATTTACATAGCTGGATTCATTACACTTTATGGTAGAAACTATAATTCGTCCTCCACTACAATATTTATCCTCGCAGTTAATCACTAAGTGGTCACCAACCATATTTTCAAAATCAAATTTCCGCCATGTAGATGACACCAACAAATGAATAAAGACCTTTTAATTAAAAAAAATAAAGAGCGTACGCGTGTATCAATGTATCTATAGACGCGCAAGAAGTGAAACTTATGTAGTTTATCGGTACTTTTTATGAAATTTAATTTATATTTCGAATAATTAGGAAAGGAGAGATACTAAATGAATAATACAGGATGCAATTTTTTTTGTTAAAAAAAATATATTATAATTATTTATAATGTATAAAAATATTTCAAGTAAATCATTGTTTAACAATATTCATCTATACATATAATAAAATTGTAACAGCCGAATCTGTACATTAAATATTTTTTGGAAAATCTTATTGAAATAGACATTATTATCGATACAGAGGCCGAATCTAATTCTATAGTTTTTAGAATTTTTGTCTGTCTGTCTGTCTATCTGTCTGTCTGTTGCCGCATCACAGAAAAACCACTGGAGGGATTTTAATGAAATTTGGTATAGTGATAGCTGGTTATCCGGGTCAAGATATAGGATACTTTTTACCGCGGGAAAATGTCTCATTTCTGAGAAAAAATAAAAACTGCAATGTAAGAGTATACTGATATATATTTTGACAGTTATTAATCGACTATTTATTCACTTCCATAACAACCGTCTCCGTTACAAAAATCGCGCTAAAACTTTTTTCCCCTCATGGCGCGCCTAAAGTCTTTACAAAAACAATAAAATATACATATTTTATACTATGTAAAAAATTAACCAAAGGTTACTTTGTTAAAATTAACTAGGTTTACTGCTTTGGAGATACGCATTACGTCTTAACTACGAGTTAAATAATTTGTAGAATAATTTGTTTCTAATTTATAAATTGAAACGTGTAATGTGTATAGTATCTAATTAATTATAATCACCTGTCAATATCGTTTCGTTACGTTACAACGTAAACAACGTATTACATAACATTAAACATTCTGATACATCTTAGATATTATAATACTAGCATTGCCCGCGGCTCCGCCCGCGTTCAAAAACGTTCAAAAACTAAGCCGAATCTGTACATTAAATATTTTTTTGAAAATCTTATTGAAATAGACATTATTATCGATACAGAGGCCGAATCTATAGTTTTTAGATTTTTTGTCTGTCTGTTACCGCATCACAGAAAAACCACTGAAGGGATTTTTATGAAATTTGGTATGGTGATAACTGGTTTTATGGGTCAACATATAGGATACTTTTTACCGCGGGAAAATGTCTCATTTCTGAGAAAAGTACAAAAACTGCAACGTAAGAGTATACTAATATAAAACCTAAGAATTTAAAGGTTATTGGTTTTTGCTTATTTGAACGTAGGCGGAGCCGCGGGTAGTGCTAGTAACTTAAAAAAATACTAAATTTTACTTAGATTTACGCGAATATTTGTTATTTTAAATAAAACTACTAAGCAAAAAATAGGGCATGTTCGATTTGATGACGCCTGCTTTAGGTAGAGCCACTTTAAACTGTCATAGATACATAATTATTAATTATCTACATATGTACCTAATTTGCGCATTCTATGTCAGTAACTCAATGCTAGATAAAATGTATTAATTGCCTAAAAATAATGAAAAACTGCTACTTTCTATTGACCTTAAACGGTATCCTCTTCTATTTTTTTAATACTTCATTGCTGTCTCTGTTCATTTCAGAAGGTCATATGTTTGAATTTCGGTTCGGGACAAGTATAGTTATTAAGTTGTTCATTCATACTTATGTCGAAATTTGGTTAGAATTTTGTTATTCATTGTATTTTATATCATCTTTTCGTCGTTAGACTTGAACATTGCATCTCATCCAAATATCTCAACCATTCAATAAATGAGATTTTATATAGCATGATTATAAAAAAAAGATGACTCTCGCATCTCCCAGGCGAAGCGCTCTAAACTCAAAAAAAATCATAAGATGTTAGTCTATACGTTTATACGTTTAATGTTGAACGATTAAGTATAGTCAAAGTAGATGGATAAAATATCCTAAAAAGTGTTTAAAAACAAATAATATAACGAAAAATATTACAACAAATTCAACTATAAAAATATATTTCTTTTATAATGTACTAATGTTAAATATGTATGGAATAAATACAATATTATATACCTACTATACAGGAATACAATTGACGTCATCCATTTTGACAACACGTTTGGCTCAGTTTGTACTTGCTGTGCCAGCGGTCGCGGGTTTTAGTCTCGCTGGGGGCATTCATTTGTGTGATGATCACGAATGTTTGTACTCTAGTCGTGGGTGTTTATATTTATAATTTCTATTTATTCAAAGTTGTATATGTGTAATGTATCAACTATCCGGTATCCAACACATAACACAAGCTTCGTAGCTTACCATGGAACTAGATCTTACTGTGTGTTAATGTCCCAACATATTTATATATTATCCTGACCGATTTCGATCGATTGATCACGGCGGCCAATATTATTAGTTCTAGTGATATTGGTATAGTACTAGTACTCAATAACTAAGCATGGCCCGACCCGGGACTTGAACCCAGGACCTACGGATCTGCGGCCGCGCCACTAAACCACCTAGTCAGATTACAAATATTTTAATAGCAACCTTAACTTACTTAATTTTAGCACAGATAACAAAATACTAGTTTTAGACTTTAGTAACATAGACTTTCCTAATGAAAACTTGTTTACGCGTAACTTTATTTATTACAAGGTTCTATTTCAATTGCAATGTTTGTATGTTTGTTCGGGTCAAATCTTGCAACTGAGTTTTGTATGTAGTTATCCTCAACCGATTGAGCTGAAATGTTTCATTTAATTTAAAGTTTATTTTCTTCTTTTAAAAGCATAGTTTCTTAAATTTACACGAATATTTGACTGACCGTGTCTCTCCCGATACCGTCACCCGTGACCATGATTGCTGTAAAGCATTCGAAACGCCGGAAACTAAAAATCTAAATAAATTCGCGAAAAAATCCGAATAGATAGCTTTATTTAAAACTAGCATTGCCCGCGGATCCGCCCGCGTTCAGATGACCAAAAACCAAACTCTTAGGTTTTACATATTAGTATACTCTTACAATGCAGTTTTTGTATTGTTTCTCAGAAATGAGATATTTTCCCGCTGTAAAAAGTATCCTATATGTTGACCCGGATAACCACCTATCATCATACCAAACTTCATCAAAATCTGTCCAGTGGTTTTCTCGTGATGCAGTAACAAACAGACAGACAGACAGACAAAAATTCTAAAAACTATAGATTCGGACTCTGTATCGATAATAATGTCTATTTCAATTAGATTTCCCAAAAAATATTTAATGTACAGATTCGACTTAGTTACAATTTTATTATATGTATAGAAAAACCCAAATTTCCCACCCACGCCCTCATCTAAATGTCACCTAAGTGGCAAATCTCTCGTTACATTAATTTTTTAAGTCGGGGGTTTTTAAATTATTTTATCCTTTTCAAATACTTTTTA